ATTTTTTTTAAGATTAAAAATACTGAAAATAACATAACTATCAGATATAATTTAAAATAATAAAAAAATTAAATATTTACTAAATACTCAAATAATGAGTATGGAAATGGAAGCAAATCACAAATTAACTAAATAAAAATTAATAAATACTAATAAACATGTTATAATCAGGGGCGCCGTAACGGGGGAAAGGTTAGGACGTTTTCAAGGGCCCGGTGAGGGAGAGGGGGCCCAGAAACACCCCCCCTCCCCCAGGAACGCTATAATGGGGGGGCCCGAGTCAATTATGTTCAGGGGGTCTGAAAACCATAGCGGCGCCCCTGGTTATAATATACTGTAGACGTATATTTGAAAAAAGTAATAAAAAAACATATAAAAACACAACCAAATTGCTAAACGTTCTCTAAAATTAAAGTGAAAACATAAAATCTAATTTACAATATTAACAAAAATAAATATTTACTAAATACTAAAATAACATTTGAAACAGGTTTAATTCACAGGGAAAGCACTAACTGATAAAATGTATAACTTCTGAGTGTCTGCCAAATGCATAAATGTAAATGTTTAATAAACATAAAAAAAATAAAATAAAATAACATGAGTGTGCACTCAGATGAAATGATTTATTCAGAATAAGACACTACTTGTGAAAGCAAGCAAAAGAAAGCAAAATAACAAATTTCCTGTTTATATAAAACTATGAATATAAAGCCAAAATATCTATTCAAACAGTCTCTGAATACTGGGAATCATTTCTTACAGAAGCTCAAAAATCCATCGGGCAGCAATCCAAACGGAGAAATCGATATTTGAAAACTCGAGCCGGAAATAGAAAAGCGGCTCTTACCGATGAAGAGGTTCCACTCCGGGTCCAGGTCCGCTTGGTTGGCCAGGCAGCCCCGCATGACGTTTTGGCAGTAGTTGGCGCAGGGTTTGAGGCCTGGCATTCCTCCACAGTATGGACAGTACAGCATTTTAGTCAATGCTTTACTGCAACCTGGAGATATATTGACCTGCAGGAGAAATAAAAAAGGAAGGAAGTTAGTCCTGACTATACTGCATTGCATTCGAGAGTTGCTTTGCAAGCTGCTGGAAGAAATCGAGAATGGAGTAGAAATATTTTCTAGTGGGTATGCTGTACTATGCACTCATAATCTATGAAAGGACCTCTGCTGGGTATCGAAAGGGTCTGCGTGGTTCTTGCCACACTTAAAGTGGTTTTCAGAGTGAAGAACCGCATTGACAACAGGTCAAACGTGTCTTTTAAAGCACATTGGGGTGAGATATTCGCAAAAGCATTGCATGTGCTCAATGCACGTCCATTTTCAACGTCAATATGGGTGCAAGACCCTCGTTGATGGACCTCGAGCGACAGCATTCTCACATCAGCTAGCCTTCAGGGCAGACATATATCTACTTGCAGCCGTCTCTGATAATTGCATGTCATTCTCTATCTGTACACTTGACTCAGAGCTTGTACGCCAGACATCTTCTGTCCATCACGCGGAGGCGGCTCTCCGAAGGTCAAGGCCGTGCAGAAAGGAGGCAGACGGTCAACTGGAAACACACGGCGGCCGTCGAGTTTCTCGCTGAGATCCAAAAGGACATGTGTTGATTGCTCTGAACAAACCTGACAGTGTTGCTTTATAACTACGACTGCATCATGTGACATGGCACACGTCAAGTCTCACACTTATAGAGATTTGACTATTTCAAGAGGTCTAAGAGTGAAAATCTGAAAACCTAAAAAAAAGGAATATACAACAAATGTGCACTCAGATATTTCTCCTGCTTCAGAGTAAAAAAATCTTTATTGTTAGTTTATGTTTTACAATTGCAAGGTTATTTCTCTTAATTGTGACTTTAGGTCTTACAGGTGATTTTATTTCATATTTTAAACTAATTACCTTCTCTGATGAAAAACTAAAACACTTCAATTACTGAAAATGTTACAAATTTAATAATTTACATTACATAATTTAATAATTTACATAGATTAATTCTTAATTATATATATTTAAAATAATTTTAATTTTAGTTTCAGTTTACTGTTTTAGACACTTAAATATGTTAAGTGCTGTTACTATAAACCAAACTAAAACAAAATTATATTAAGCGTAAAAATAAAATAAATAAAAATACAAATAAAAAATTAATCTTGGATGAAAAATTAAAAATGTTGCCTAGGCAAGTAACTGAAATAAGTTTAAGTACTAAAATTACTAGCAGGAATGAATGAATGAATGAAGCATACAATAAAATTACTAAAAGTTAAACAAACATGAAATGGAAACTTCAAAAATGAGAATTAAAATGAAGAGCTAATTCCAAATATTAATAAAGCACATTTAAGATATTACAATTGTGACTTTATTTCTTATATAAACTTAATTCCATAATTACCTTGAACTCTGATACTGATTATTTATATAGTTACTTTCAATTAATAAAACATTTTAAAACTGATAAAAATTAATTAAAATCAAAATAAAACTTAAAATGAAAAGCTCAATTCAAATATACTATACAAAAGTATTCATATAAATATAGAAAAAAAAATATTAAAATAAGACTGAAAAGCCCTGCAGACTGATATAATAATTACAATAATAATAATTCCAAAATGTGCAGTATAAAATACATTATTTTCTTAACTCAGAATTGGACTGCCAAGAGTTTGTACATTTTTAGTTTGTACACAAGACTAAAAATGTGAAATAACCATTTTATTTCCTGGATTAGTGAACGTAAAAAGGGTAGGCAGTATACAATATGCAGTACACTAGCAATCTTACGCCTCCATTTATTATTTTCAATAGATCAGCTGCGCTTCTTTTCTTACTTTCAGCTAGTCTCTGATTCGCCTTCTTCTGAGGTAGAGTACGGCAGTGAGTTTCAATGAACTTTGCTAACGTTTCAAACACATGTATCCTGTCAAGCTCCACTTATTTACCCTTCAAAATCTTTGCTTTACACGACTTCACCGTCGGCCCGTAATTGAAAGAACAAGAGGAGGATCAGTTGCGTGTCACACCTCCGGATCCGGAGATAAACTCTTGGCGTCTTCATCATTCTACTCGTCTGTGATGATCCAGACACCCTTCCTCTCCCGCTGCAAAGCTACAAGTGTTTCTGGAAGACTGTGCAGGGAGAGGATCAAACGGAGCTGCTCTGACGCGGCCCGTTTTACACTCCCACATCAAATGCGGAGCGCAGGAGAGCTTCGAACGCAGTGTGTCTGCAATTACATCACAGCGAGACTCACTCGCACCGTGAGCTGACAGCGTTTTCATACGATTCCTAATCAGCCATTAGCTTCACGCAGTATACACAGAGACTGTCTAGTTGCACATGGGACTTTGAACAAGGGACACTGGCAGGATATTTCATGGATTCAGGATTATTTTCATGCTTTGATACTGTATCTCAAAGGTTAACAAGACAAACTCTGTTCAATGGAACCACACTGCTGACTTCTCTGCCACTGTAAAACTATGAACAGACCAGTTTGTTTCATTTTTACATTATTTTGATTTAAGCAATTTTTCCTTCATTTTTAAGAGTGCAGAAAAGTGAAACTTGGGCTTGCTCTTTCAGATTTAAGTTTCCCTATTAAAAAAATAAAAATAAAACTAAACTAAAAACAAAAAACACAAAACAAAACAAAACAAAACAAATTTGCTCTTCATATAATGGCAAAAAAAAACCTATTAATGAATTAATTTGTTTGTTTAATTATTCCTTTTTTTATTTATTTTTATTTAAGCATTTTTTTTCAGAAAAGTTAAATTTGGGCTTGTCCTTTCAGACTTATTTTATCTTTTAAAATACAATATATACGGTTTTAAAATCAAGGGAAAAATAGGTGATTTTCTCTTCATATGACAGACAGACAGACAGACAGACAGACAGACAGACAGATAGACAGATAGATAGATAGATAGATAGATAGATATATTTTTTCCTTTCTTATATTTAAGAGTGCCTTGTCAGATTTAATTTCCATTATACAAGATGTTAAAATCAAGAAAAAAAAAGAAAAAAGAAAAAAACAAAAAAACTTTACAAATTCTCATAAAAACCTAAACATATTTTCAATTAATTTGATATTTATTTGTACAGTCAGCAAGTCTGTATATTTGTATACCAAAGAAGAAGATTCATTCACAAAAGTGCTGTAAATGAAGAAACACCAAAGACTAAATTAAATATTGTGAAATTTGGATTAATAAGGGAGGGAGAAATTTCTACTAAATTAGACATTACAGTTCAAAAGTTTGGTATTCATTAAAATAATCAAAATAAATAAATACAATAGATCATGGTTTCCACAAAAATATGAAGCAGCACAACTGTTTTCAACATTGATAATAATCAGAAATGTTTCTTGAGCAGCAAATCAGCATATTAGAATGATTTCTGAAGATCATGTGACGCTGAAGACTGAAGTAATGATGCTGAAAATTCAGCTATGATTACAGGAATAAATTACATTTTAACATACATTCAGATAGAAAACAGCTATTTTGATTCATAATAATATTTCACAATTTTACTGTTCTTACTGTATTTATCAAATAAATACAGCCTTGGTGAGCATAAAAGACCTCTTTCAAATACATTTTTTCATACGGACCCTGCTTTTAAAAACCATCACCAGTCGCATATCTTTAAAATGGAGCTGTCTAAGTGTACTGATGTATAAAAGTAATGAAATTCCTCAAGCCAATAAATAGTATAGATCGTAGGCATTTGAGGTCAACAAAATGATTTATTCCAGAGTCATGCTCATGTACCCATAAGCGTGGAGATATTAAAGAGTAACCTGTGAGCAATAAAATGTTCCTGCGGGTTTGCCCACTACATATTTCCACCACCAATCTATCTCAACTTTGACAAACCTGTCACGCAGAAGAAATGCCTGGCAGGGATGGAGCAGAAATATGAGGTTCAACATGCAAGATGATATGCAGGAGCACAAACCAGGTCATTTCCATGTTTCGAAGCATGCAAAACATTGCATTTTTCATCAAAGTAAAGCAGCCTTCCTCGTGATGCTCTGATATCCCTGTCGCAAATCAAACGGAAAAGCCCAGGAATCGACCAAAGCCATGGAGAATGAAACATGCAGTAAGCTTGATCAGCAGCCGAGATTTCCTGAGACCTGCGAGTCATTTATGAGCTCCACATTTCCACAATAGCAGTCGATTCCAATAAAATCCCTCTTTTTTCACAGCAGCCGGTCACAATCGTCAAATCCCTCGAGCTGCGAGTCTGCTTACAGGCCGACGGCCAAAATAAGCCCCAGTTTAACAATCTGCCGTCAACATGTGAGGCACAGATACCACACTGAAACATTTCAAACATTTCAGTGTCCTTTTAGAAACTTTCATTTGAATGCAATGCTTAATTCGACCAAATTAATCTCAAAATAGATTCAGAATAGATCAGTAGTCTTCATGAATTAAACTGACTAATAGAATTGTTCATAACAGACACCTTTTAAAAATACTGTGTATATATATAATATTTGAAATAATTAACATATACAAACTGACATAGAAAGCACTGAATAGAAATGGAAACTCTAGTGCTCAGTGGCACAAATACCACAAAATACTTTCACTTTACTGTGATATTTCAATCACACTTTATTTTAAAGTCCAATTCTTATACCATTAACAAACCATCAACTATGACTTTTACCTAAATAAACTCCTAATTTGCTGCTTATTAATATTAAGTAAGTTTAGGTATTGGGTAGGATTAGGGTTAGAATATGGTCATGCAGAATATGTGCTTTATAAGTACTAATAAACAGCCAATATGTTAATAACAGGCATGCTAATAAGCAACTAGAGAATAAAGTGAGAATAAAAAAGTGAGAATCGGTCCCTATACTGAAGAGTAAAGGTAATATATTTGACATTTGATGCAAGATTTTTCTGCAAGATATTTATGCGTACAATCTGTATTTTTTAGAACAAAGAGAACGATTTATTCACAAAATCACTGCCATGAATGAAGAGTTGTATCTCAGAAATGAATTTTTCTGAAATAATTACATGAAATATTGCAAAATTTGGATTAATAAGAGAGGGGAAAATTAACAATTTGCTCTATACACATTACCGTTCAAGCGTATGGAGTCTGTATGTGTTTATTAGCAATATTATTTTTAGCTTATTAATCATATTTTTATTCATCAAAAATGCATTAAAATTAATCAAAAGTGACAGTAAAGACTTTCACATTGTTAAAAAAATCTATTTCAGAAAAAAATAAATAAAAAAGTAAAGCAAGTTTCACAAACAATTACAAAGAAAAGGTGTGACATTGAATTAAACATGAAATTCTGAAGTAAAAAAAAAGAATAGCAATTTATTTTCAAATGTGCCACGATATTCTAAATTTCGAAAAATCTATTTTTACAGTGTATAAATTCTTCCTTTAATAGAACGATTTCACATTTAATGCAAGATTTGAAGATTTGATTCAAATATTCGAATCACAGATTAAATGTAAAAGATTCAATTCAATGAACAACAAGTCAATATAAAGATTCAAATCAAAGATTAGATAATCAAATCAATGATCCGGTTCAAATGAAGGATTCTCAATTAGCATCACATTAATGCACATCATCCATCAGCACTGATGGAGCATTTCACAAACTGTAATGTCTAAAGATCCGGTCTGTGGCTCTGAAAAGAGTCGGGTCAGCTTGAAACCAAGCAGGAATACAACAAATTAGATTTCAGAAACCACAAGTGGACTTGCATGTCTTTATACATTCTCTTCTGAGCCTCTGAACAGATTGCTAAATGCTTGCTAATTCACATTAGTCAACGTATATAGAAAAGCCTAAATGCGTTCGGTCACACTTCATCCATTTACATCCATTCCAATGGAATTCAGTGCATTTGCATTATTATCTTGCGTGCATAACCTTTAAAGATAAATATGTGGGATTTTTGCTCACAAGGGCTTCGAATCCTAAGTGCACAAGGATATCATTATATCAGCGTGTTGCTCAATCCTTCTGCAAGGAAACGCCTTCAGCATAAATCTGAAAGGGGGAGTCCTGTGTATAAAAAACCATAACGGACAATAATACACAGTGCTGCATGTACACGGAGAAGATAAAATGCCTTTGAGCGACTGCACAGAAATCCTGTTGGGTACATTGTGTTCCATTTTAAGCCTGGCACATTTGATTTCTCATTCAGCGCTGAACCGCATAGCCAGGGTAAAGCGACCCATGGGAAATCTTGCTGAACAAATCCTGAGATTCGTCAGCTGCATCTGGGAATGAAAATATATGACCAATGGTTTTAGGAAACGACGCGGAATTAACCCTGAAGGGTGTTAAGAGATGCGACGCAACGCCTTGAGCTTAGAGCCGCTCTAATGTGACGCTTTTGGCACGACAAAAAGAACATTCCTGTCAGCAGATGGATCTAATCCGCAGTTATTATGACAGTAGGCCCGATCCAACCTGGCACGAGCCTCCAGAATCAACCCCAACACACACTGAAAGAGCGAAACAGCTTGCGAGTGTAGGCTTGGATATGAGATAATCAGATCACCGAAGATGCGGCACCTCCTTCTGTTCCTCTCTTTCCTTTCAAATGTCAGAGAAGGGCTGAGAAGGTGCGAGAAGTGACATGAGAAGTTAATAAGGGCCCGAAGCAAACAGGAAGACGCTGGGCTCCTCAAGAATGAAACTACAGAACTTCTCAGGTCTTAACTGGGACTTTGGTACTTTGCAAAGTAGGATTTTCTAAGTGGAACTTTCTTAAAAATAAAGCTTCTTTAATGGTATTGAAGGTGTCACGGGTTGCTACTGTGAGGAGCACAGAGCGAGGAGACCAGGAGTACAAAACAAAGGCGTTTAATTCTTTTGTTCAGGGAATCACACGTAGCACAAGGAGCTGACAAACAATTCCAGACAAGGGAGAACAGAACGGGCTAGAACTAAATAGGGCACATAACGAGGGGCAGACAGGTGATGAGGATAACTAATAACAAGGAACAGGTGATACTAATAATAGGAAAAGGAACTGGAAGGACCAAATAAGGACAACAGGAACTAAACGGGAACATACACGTGACAGAAGGTTCCATTAAAAACCTCTGACATCAATGGAACCTTTCCATTGCTTCATGGTGGAAAACGGTTCTTTAGACTGTCTTGATGCTATTATTTTAAGATTAATTATTCATTGAAAGGTTCTTTGGTTTCTTCAATGGGATCACTGTGAGAAACCCCTTTTGAAATCTTTATTTTTAAGAGTGAAATAAAACAAAGATTGAAGTAAAAAAAAGTGGCTAAAAGGAACAACTGAGGCTGTTATTTTAGTATTGTTGACATATACAGTGCCGTGAAAAGGTTTTTGCCCCTTCCTGTTTTTTTTTTTTTTTTC